GTTCTGTGTCTGCTCCTGTCAGTCCAGCTGAGCTTTTAATCACCAGGGCAAATTGACACCTTTAATTGATCAGACTTTCATTTTAACTATTTCTGCCCTCAGTCCTGAGTGTTCAACACACCCCAGTAGCCTCTTCTCAGCTTCCTTACCCTTGTTTAGTCAGAAATAACTTCAAACAGGTGCTGGGTTTCTGATAAACAGACACAGATGGGAAAGACACTATCAAACACATCCATATGAGCTTTTTGCCCTTCCTGCAGATGACAAAATTGGTCAGAAATCGGTCCCGAGTCAATACCAGCCACAAATCCTATTCAAGATTTTCTGAGCTAATAATAAACGATAAACTGGTTTGAAACGATGTCCAGAATGCATAGCAGTCCCTCAGAAACCAGGGGTGGGAACCCCTTCTGTAGGACAGAGGTTTCATCGCTGCCCTCCTCTCATCGTCATCATCGTCTCATCGACAGCCTGTTCAGACTGTCCAATCTGGTGCGTCTCCGGGTTTTCATTCCAGCTCAGCTCATCACGAGCGAAGCCAGGCTGGTGACTGACTTACCTGGACCCAACAGCAGGTGGCGATTCTTTTCACAGAGAGACACGTGGGGTATCTGGAACTACCTGCCCAGTCATGGTGTGTAAAATTGCCAATCCCAGACCCTAAAAAAGCAGCCAAAGAAGATTTATCAGCTAATAGTATGTCAAATATTGTGTTGATATTTGTGTTCCAACTAGAAGAATTAAGTCATACCCCAATTAAAAACCATAGTTCAACAATAACATCAAAGCCAAGCTGAAGGAGCAGTCTGTGGCCTTCAGCTCTGGAGACCCTGGGCTGTACAGGAAAGCCAGGTATGCCCTGGAGAGGCCATCATCACCCTGCGGTCCATGTGGGTCCTAATGCCCCAGTATAGTGACGGGGACACTATACTGTAAACAGGCGCCGTCCTTCTGATGAGACGTAAAACCGAGGTCCTGACTCTCTGTGGTCATTAAAAATCCCAGGGTGTTTCGTTTCTCGAAAAGAGTAGGGGTGTTACCCTGGCGTCCTGGCCAAATTTCCCATTGGCCTTTACCAATCATGGCCTCCTAATAATCCCCATCTATGAATTGGCTTCATTACTCTGCTCTCCTCCCCACTGATAGCTGGTGTGTGGTGAGCGTTCTGGCGCACTATGGCTGCCGTCACATCATCCAGGTGGGGCTGCACACTGGTGGTGGTGGAGGGGATCCCCAATAACTGTAAAGCGCTTTGAGTGGAGTGTCCAGAAAAGCGCTATATAAGTGTAAGCAATTATTAATTATTATTATTATCAGACATGCAAAAAGGGACTACAGAGACAGGCTTGAATCACAATGTGGGGGCATTAACACAATGCGCCTCTGGAGTGGCCAAAGGGCTATCGCTAATTACAACGGACATATGGGTGTTATAACAACAGCTGATGATTCACTGCCTGACCAACTAAACAACTTCTATGCAAGGTTTGACGCTCACAACACAGACCCTCCACACAAAACGCCCAGTGAGTATGGGGAGTATGGGTGCTGCTGCTGTCTGAGCAGGGGGTATGGAGAGCTTCTGGAAAGGTGAAGCTACGCAAGGCTGCTGGCCCTGATGGCACCCCCTCCTGTGTTTTAAAGGCATGCAGAGCACAACTGGCCCCTGTCTTCACTGTAATATTTAACATGTCACTATCCCTTTCTACTGTCCCACTGTGCTTCAAGAGGACTACTATCATGCTACTGCCTAAAGTCAAGGTGTCATGTCTGAATGACTACCGCCCGGAAGCACTCACCTCAGTAGTCATGAAGTGCGTGGAGAAACTGGTGATGGGACACATCAACAGTATTGTCCCGGACTCCCTGGACCCCCTGGACCCCCTGCAGTTTGCTTATAGGAATAATTGGTCAGTGGACAATGCTGTCACACTGGCCCTTCACACCACTCTTGAGCACAAGAGGAACACCTGGGCCAGGATGTTATTTATTGACTTCAGCTCAGCCTTCAACACAATTGTGCCAGGCAGGCTGGCAGTCAAACTCAGGGCTCTGGGCCTCAGCAACTCCATCTGCAACTGGGTCCTGGACTTCCTGACAGGCAGACCCCAAGTGATGAGGATTGGAAACAAAACCTCATCCCCTCTGATCCTCAACACAGGGCCCCCCAGGGCTGCTGCCTGAGCCCATGGCTGTATTCTCTATTTACACATGCCTGTGTGGCTGGGTTTAACAGCAACCGCATCATCAAGTCTGCTGATGACACCACAGTAATCGGTCATATCAACAACAATGATGAAACCACCTACTGAGTGAGGTAGCAGAGCTGGTGGAGTGGTGCCACAGCAACAAACTCACACTTAACATAAACAAAAGAGATTATAGTGGAGGAGGAGGTATGGAGGTATTCTTCAGGAGGTATTATTCATACTTCAGGAGGTATGGAGGACGTCACACACCCATCATCATTCACGGGGCTCCAGTCGAAACTCAGCACCTTCAGGTTCCTCGGCCTCCAGATCACTGAGAGGTTGACCTGGTCAGAGAACACTGCTGCCATCCTCACTAAAGCCCACCAGCGCCTTCACTTCCTGAGACAGTTAAGGAAGTGGGGGATGAGCAAGACAATACTCACCAATTTTTACTGTTATATGATTGAGAATGTCCTGACCGGTGGTATTGCGGTGTGGTATGGTGGAGCCACAGTACAGGACAGAAAAGCCATACAGAGGGTTGTGAGGTCCACACTGGGACCAAGCTACCCTCCATCCACCGGATATATCTCAACCGCTGCCACAACCGGGCTCGAGCTATACTTTGGGACCCAATTCACCCTGGCCTCGGTCTGCTTTCACCCCTGGGTTCTGGCAGGAGGTATCGCAGTATCAGAACACTGACCGATAGATTCAAAATCAGTTTCTTCCCCCAAGCAGTCTGCATCATAAAAAGCTCAAATTAGCACCTGCACATATTAGCACCTGCACTTGAAGGTACTGCACTGTTTACACAGGTAATGTCCTGTCTTGGCTGTATTATAACGTCTATTGTCTAAATTGATTGTCCATGTCTGTTTGTCATTTGTGCCTATTTTCTTTCTCTAATGTTACTGGGTACAGCTGAACGAGTAAGCATTCCAGTACACTTGTTGTATATGGCACATAAAGAAATCTTGAATCTTAATAGCAATTAAACAAGCAAGAGGGACAGAATGCACACCTGCCTATCTCCAGTCCTTCTTGCTTTCTGATGAGACAATCCGTCTTGAGAGACTTACATTTCCAGGGGAGAGGCAGGGTTAGTAAAGTAGAGAAAAGTAGCACCCGGACTGCATGGGGCACCCAAGTGGCCGATTGGCTTGGCTGATTCGGCAGCCTCCGGGCCATGAAAACTTGAATACCCCTGCCTCGCGGAGCTGGGCCCTCAGGGGTGGGGAAGGAAGAGGAAGTCTCCCCTGCCTCGCGGAGAGTCGCTTTAAGAGGCACTGCCTCAGGACCAGCCACTGCCCTCAGGGGACAGAAAGGGAAGAGCAAGACTCCCCTGACTTCTTGAGGGTCACTTTGAGAGGCGCTGCCTCACGACTGGGAGCGAGGCCCTCAGGGGATAGAAAGGAGGAGGCAGCCCCTCGACTCGCTGCGAGTCCCACGAGAGGCACTGCCTCGCGACTGGGAATGATTCCCTCTGGGGGGGGACCCCTGACTGGAGGAATTGCTCTGAGAGGCGCTGCCCGAGGGGTTGGGAACGAAGAGAAAGCCACTCGAGAAGAAAGCGGAAGAAGTCCCCTGACTCGCTGAGAGTCGCTCTGAGGCGCTGTCTCGTAACTGGGATACGCCCTCAGGGGACGGGGAACGAGAATTAGTAAGGTAGAGTTCCCGATAATAATGGGGCTCACACTTCCCAGACCTCCCCAGAAAGGGTCAAGGTGGCCCTGCCATCCTGAGGTCGGGACAGTGAGCTTCACTGACCCCCCAGAGGGAACTGGGGTGCCATGGCAACACGAAAGAAAGAGGAGGAGGAGGGAATTCACAACTTTAGACGTGTGCGTTAGTGTGGTTAGGAATAAAATAGGGAGGAGAAAAGTCAATGATAGAGGAAGGGGCAGAGCAGACCTCAGCTTCTCCCCTAGAACTCCATCTGTTGGTTTCCTTTTTATATTCTGCATGTATCAGACTCATCCCCTGCCTCTTTGGTCTCTATAAAGCTCTGACTGAGCCGGACAGAAATCACATTAAACCTGCAGTCATCTCTGTCCTGAGCCAGGGCGTCCAGAGTTTCAGTGACGTCACTCAATGGCAGACAGTGCTGGTCGCGAATCTTATTAGATGAAGCCAGGATGTTTTAAAATGCGTCCTATTATGATACCATCAGAATGAAGTTATGCGATTATGCCTTAGAATAACACATGAAACCAATTATTCTAGTGGTGACCTGATAGTCTTTCTACTGAAGGGCCTTACAGCCTCCTCTGATTCAGCAAACAGCCAGCAAGCTGGGACTCTGGATATTTGACTTGAAATGACTTTCAAAACATCCTGCAGTGCACAATCTGCTCCTTCAATGGCATTACCCTGTGGTACACA